TTTGAGCCCCCCTCATAGGTAGCCAAGCCAAGCCAAATTCAAGCGTACTTAGCCTCTCAACCACGCTTCCCAATTTTTATTTATTCCTGAATCCACCTAAAATTTTAAAAAGTAACAGAGACAAAATATCCATGTACATTGCACATTTGCCACTTTCCTTAGATGGATGATTTGTTGACAAGGATTCACAAAAATGATAAGAAATCATGAAATCTCTAACTATATAGTATTTGAAGAAGGTTGATGCTATGGCCGCCAGTTAAATAAGTGGACCATATTAATTTTTTTATATATATAAAATGTACTATCATCCCTCAGTTTGGTATAAATATTGTATCTTGACTTGTGGCATGTAGGGTAAACTTTCCTTTTTATTTTTAATTCAGGATCTCCAAACATGAGCTCCTCTGCAAAAGAAATTCCATCTTTGCAGCCTTCCTTTTCTACTGCAAGCCAGGCAGGTTTTGAAGCTTCTGCTTCAAAGGACTCTCCAGTTGCTTTAATGAAAAGACCTTCAGACACATCTGGTGCTTTAACACAACAGCCTCCTGCCTTGAATAGAATTATTTTTAGTAGAGAAGAAACAGGGGATAACATGGTAGAGAGCAAAAGTCAGGATTTCAGACAATCTGCCAATTCTAATGCTATCAATGGAGTTGCAGAAGGATCAAAAAATGAACTGTTGGATAACTTAAAGTTGCAGAATAGTCTCAATGTAATGCCAAGAAATCATGTTTCTGCTGTTGAGTCACAAATGGCAATCCAAAAGCCTTTAAATTTAGATCAAAATGGAAGTGGTGAATCCTCCAGACCAGCAGCTATTAGCGGATATATCCAAATGTATTCCCCTCGTCATAGAGTCTCTCAGTCTGAGGTACTTGGCCGTAGGGTTGCTGAGGAGCAGTCCAATCAGTTTAGCAAGTCTGTCACCATTGCCCACAACTCTGAATATGTGAACACCAACACCGTAAATCGGCCTGTGAAGCCTGACCCTCTACACTACTTGTCAAAAGAAGAAGTAACTAATAACATAGGATATAATCTAAAATCTGGTCACAGCCCATCGCAACCGGCAAACTATGAGCCTCTCCGACACAGTGCATGGGACACTGCACAACTTTTGGGTGATGATATTGCTATCAACTCCAACTCACAAAACAGCAGGCAACAGCAAGGGGTCCTGCAACCTATACAGCTCCGGGCTGATGCTGTAGTGGCCAATAATCGAGCAAACATCAGCAACTCGAGTGTCAAAAGTCCAGCACAGCCCCCTCCACCTCCACACAGACCCAAGTCCCATATTTCATCGTTGGGGGGCAATCACATATACGCCAACGAACAAAGTCCAAGCGACACTGTGATCCTTCGGGAGCCTAGACCTGTCCATCAGCAGCAGTCTGACAGGTTGTGTCCTGTTTGCAGCAAGGACTTTAGCATGTTGAGTATGGAAGAGTTTCAGACCCATGTTTTTCGCTGTTTTGATGATGACGAGGCCCCTGAAACCATGAAGCCCGAAGAAACTTCCCGGCAATGTCCAATGTGTCAAATGAACTTTAACAACAGTACCCCACAGGCAGAGTATGAGAAACATGTACACAGTCACTTTGGCGAGGACAACCCAGGAGAAAACTTTGAGATCCTTCACCCTTAACATACAATATATGTACTCGTAACTGTGGGACAAACTTTTCAGTTTGACAAATATTTTATTATTATGACTTGAATCTGATTTTTTAGCTTTCATAGATTAATATTTTTCAGTCATAAGTGCCAGTCAAGTTTAAATTAAATTCTTTCTCATGAAAGCATGTGCTGGTTTTTAAAACTTAACTTTTTACTGATATCTGTTTTAATATTATCATAAGTGGATATTCACAGTTGGATAGATTTAAATAAATGATTCACTGTGTTTAGCTCCATTGAAAGACCAAACAAGTATGTTATTTTTAGGTGCAAATGTGTTAACATGATGCTAAGTCATGCTTTATTTTGTTTCAACTCAGATTTACAACAAAACAAATACTGAAGCTTTGAAAAGTTTTTTATAACAAGCTTTGTGATAATATGTAAAATATATAAGTCATTCTTTGACAAAAATTATTCAGTTTTAGTATTTTACCTATAGATGTTAATGCCTTAAGCTTCGGTGATAACAAATAGATGATGGTTATACTTGTGGGTTATTATATTCTGAATTGATTCTGTTGTGAAATGTTACATTTAGTAACATTTATAACAGTTGTATGTTACACATTGTTCATTCCACCTAAACAAGCACGGATTAAACATTGTTGTAGTCTTGAAGGCAAAGAAAGTCGAAAGATAATGTTCAAAATGAATTTTGTATATAACAAAAGCATTTTTATAAAGTGAAAACTTGAATACTGTAAATGTTAGTTATTACTTTATTTCCTTATTGCAATTCTCTTGTGGTAGAAATGTTGGCACATTGTGTGTTGACTTCTTAGAAATTGCAACATTAGTACATGCTATATCATCACATACTATGCGTACAAATATGTAACCTGTATTAGATATAATGAGTCACAGGTCAAAACAATGTTGAATTTTTTGCTTCAATCTAATGTATTTTCCATAGCTATTTTACTATTACAAAATAATACAAAAACTCGTTTATTTCCTAAAAAAAAAAAATCAATTCAGATTTTAGTCACAAGAAGTGCACCTTTTCTCATTATTATTATTATTGATAATAATGCATCATACTCTAACATTATAGCAGTAAAGCTTATTAGTAGCAATATGAAAAAAAAATTAGAAATGTTCTTAATGTATACAATATTTTTTTTTTCAATATCTCAAGGTAAATATGTGAACTTCAAGTGAGAAAAAGTACATGTTTCAAAACTTGCAATCTATAGGGCATATGATGTAAATGCAAAGGTCATCCATTTCTATGGCTGCCAATTAATGAGGGTTTCATGTGACTAGCACAATAACAAATTGCCTTTACTTTCCCCCACTAATGTCAGGTACCCATAAGAATACCCACTAAGATTCAAACTCAAGATTCCTTGATTAGGAAGCCAACCCTTTACCACTCAGCCACCACACCCTATTAGATTTGATCTGTTTTTATGTAGATATTTACTTTAAAATCAACTTTCTCCTTTTCAGCAACCGTCAGAGTCTTACTTCGTTTTCTAGCTAGCTTAGTTTTGACTTAATTGCTCCATTTCAAATTCATTGTTACTCCATTAAACATTGAAGGAATTTTTATTTTTTTTTAAATTGCAATACGATATCACAAAATCTCTCTCTAATATTTGTTTGTATACTTATCATCACATTTCTGAAAAGACAAAATTTCTATCAGAGTAATTGTAAAAGGTTTTATGGTTTACTCCTATACATAACAGGTTCTCCAAAATTTAGCAAAAAAAGACTCATAGAAGAAGAATCCATATATATTATATAGGGAGTCAATGTATAACATTAAATTATATACGTCTAATTTATTACTTGTGTTGTCTATGTATTATGGGTAGAAAAGGGTAGAAAATATGTAAATACTTAGATGTCAATGATTTGTGCTTATATATACACAAACAGAGTTTTAACCCTTTATTTTGTGTTACATGCTTCTGATATTCCTTCAAATTGGAAGATTATTACTTCCAAACCCAAATCTTCCGCTGCGCAGCAGGGATGATGGGATTCAAACCCAGTACAATTGAGACCATCAAACAACAGCAGAGAGCGCATACCACAGGACAATGCAGGCTCTATAATTGCCACAGCCACTTATTCTGCTCAAATCCACATATACCATTGCCCATATTTTAACAAAGGATATGCTTGCCAAATAGGAACAGCCAGTTAGTGGTACCAAAATGTTTGGGTCTTGATATGGTCTGATTAATATGGTGTCATCTGTCCTTGTAACTTTTAAAATTCTTTATTGTGTTAAATTTGAGCATTACATTGAAAGCTTCATATTCTTGACTTGCTTCAATAACACTGAAACTTGTAAACGCTAATTAGATTCATTATCTTAATTGTACATTTAAGTTTACTTCATAAAGTTTTCTTGAAGATCAAAGAGGGTCCATGGAGCTATTAAGTAACATTCTGTTTTGCTGATAGTATCAGTGCCATTTGTTAGAAATAAATATAATCCCATTATATAGAATGGTTTTAAAATGAAAGACTTTTGGTTTGGCTCCCAAATAATGAACTATTACATCCTTTCCTGAAAAATTTCACTATTAAAATATATTTTACTTGAAATGATGTTATCATGAGAGAAAAATTGTAATCGAAACACTTCTTTTACTCTGCAGTAAACACTATTTAAGTGTGATGATTACACTTGACAATTCAATGAAATGAAGAAAGAAACATCTCTCTGTATTTTCTTAAACTTCTTTAATAATACTTCTTCAACTTTCACATCAAATAACTTCTCAATTCAATAACAACTTGACTTGATACTTCATAAATAAAACTTAAATGATACATGAAACTTCACTTTGTATAACTTCAACTACTAAAACTTTACTTAATGGACCCACTAATATCATAAAACTTATTACTTATCGAGGACTGAGCGAGGACCAATGCTCTACAAGAACTACTACTATGCGAGGACCCCGTCTAACTGACTTTCCCTTAATTTATACTTTCTTTGATCGTACGTTCCAGAATCATGGAACCTTCTCAGATAATTATTTTAGTAACTTTGACCTTCTAGAAGCTGACGTGTGCTATTTTTTTCCTTAACCCCTTTCTTCAATTGGATATCTAAAATTAACTTTACGCTGGGCACTTGCACTGGTTTGAACTAGAGCGTCTAGAAACTGGTCGAAATAGGTCACACTCGACTCGTGACATTAAGCTTTTAACACTTAAATACAGTTGTCAACATTAATGTCCTTGTTTTTTTGTTGTCTTGTTTTTTTTATAATAAATAAAAGTAATTGGTGACAATGGTAATCATATATACCTGAACTATCAAATTAGTATGTTGGGGGGGGGGGGGGGGGGGGTCTTTATTTAATGTGTCCAAAATTAACATAAATTTTTTTTTTGTTGGGGAAAAAAGTCTTTAAGTGTGTTTTCAAAATCTTAACTCTGTACCCAGCATTGAAATGTGTGTTACCACACCAGAGTGTAGAATACATTTCATAAATATTTAAACCCTAAATATTTGTGATTGTCATGATTTATTTGAGTAAACAAGGAAACTTACATGTAGGTTTAATTATTCTACCTAATGTGACTTGATGTCATAGTTTTCACAACTAGAAGTGGTTTACTAATTGAAATAAAAGTTATTCAACAGTTTATGATATTGAACTATTGCAAATTTGGCCTTGACACATTTCTTTCTACATATTTAGGGTGTATTTGAAACCTTAAATTATATTCATTTAATTTCTACAGACTGATTCTTGATTCTGTAACTTTTTGTTTGTCTACTATTGAACTTCACTCAAAGAGATGAGATAAATTGTCACCTTTGAATGGACAAGATTAAACTGAAAACACTCAAAATTTTACAGTAAATGCACAGTAGACTCTTTGAAGTAGAATTAAACTTTTGTAAAGATGGACTGAGTAAAATGTGTATTGCAAAGAAAAACAATGGAAATGTGTTTTATTTTGTTTGAAATCAAGGTGTCTTTCAAAGCAGTTGAGTTTTAGAAAAGCACTCTGTAATAACTTATTAGTATCTGTTGTTCCTATTTGTCTACACCATAATTAATGGTTATGATTTTTTTGTTCGACTTGACCTTTATGCTTCGGTGGAAGTATATTACAGAGCTAAGGACTTATTTCCTTTAACATTAAATTTATTTATTTTATGAAACCTTTGCTACAGCAATATCTCAGTTGAAACCATGTACAGGACAAGGCTTGTCTGTATTGTATTGTTAGCATTTACGATTAGGTTTTTCATTTGTGACTGACACTTTTAATTGTACTTGTATCTCTTAAAGGCAATTGAAATGATGGAATGCTATTATCACATCTCCAAATAAAACATATACACAAGAAATGTTTTTGGTCTCTTTATTTGTTTTATTAAAACTGTATCTCTTCGTAGGGTCGGCCTTTGGCATAGGCAAATTAGGTAGCCGACTAGGTGACCTGTCTACTTGCTAGCTCTAAGTCTCTTCTATTATTCAAATTACAACGCTACGGGGATCGCACTAGAAGAATTTATTTTATTTGTTGATTTAGCTATGGATGCAGGAAGGTTTTAATTCATTCCGTATTTTTTTTTTTTCATCTTTTTATTTATTTATTTGCGGCCACCTCAATTACCTACGGCTTGCCCTGCTCTTCGTTTGTGATGCGGTCTTTCAAACGTCTTTGTGTGTGATATTTGATATTTCTGTAGCATTACTAGAATCCTCCTCTAGTTCTGCAGTCCAGTATTCACAAGCTTATAGTCCATCTTCCCTAGTGCTATTAGAGCATGGAATGGGTTGCCTGAGCTAGCCAGGAAAACCAGTGACTTGGCAGAATTTAAGTCATTGGTTAATATGCATGACGCGTAGGACGTTATCATCTTCTTTTTTGAAGTAACGTCTGTATTATATAAGATAGATAAGATATAAGAATGTGGCCATGACCAGGGAGCGCATCAGTCTGATTTTGGAGTCGATTTCGATATAGTTTGGATACATTTTTTAAATGTTATATTTCATTACGAGTTTAGCTGTTTATCACTAGATCTAGAGCCAGAGTAGTTTTTAAAAAATCTTAGAAATCAACTCTTTGACAGAAGAAAAAAAAATAATCACAAGACTTTCTAAATGTGTTGCCAATTTAGCTATTTTATATTATAGTAACAAATAGATTTATTATTTTTATTACATATGGACTTTTTTAAAACTTAGCCTGCTGTGTGGTACGACATCCATTTTTTTTATCTTCATTGAATCTGTTGTTGTTGGTTTTTCTACTATTAATGAGAAAAGGTGTAAAGTTCCTGACAGGTGAAAAGATAGATTCTAATAAATATATTTTTTTTTTACATAAATGTAAAAAAGACTTGGCGTCTTGATGTCACCAGATGTGATATATAGGTTTGTGTTCCTGACACAGAAACATAAACAAGCACCAAGGATTAACTTATGATTAAGTCTAGTTTTTCTAGAAAGTAGAACTAAGAAATCTATCTAGACAAGAAGATTAAGATATTATTTAAATCTATCTAATCTAGATTATTATTATTATGCAAATACGACTTATTTAAGTTTTAAAATGCTCTCTAGAAGGCAAATAAATGTACAGAGGCAGAATTTAGTTGCAATGTGCAGGTACTGTTCAGTGTTACTGTTAAGAGTTCAGTTAAGTTTAGTACTGAGTCTGGAGGAGTGATGTATTTTTACTAAATTTTTAGATCTAATCTATCTAGATTTAATATAGTATTTATTTATGTAACTTTGTTACTTGTTTACTTGTAGTCAGATAATTTTTTTATTTAATTTTAATTAATAGATTCAATTTTAATTTATTAATTTTATTAGATCTAGGAGTAGAAAAAGGAATATAATAAAACATAAAATATATTATATAATACTATTACTTACTACTACTAATAGACTACTATTATTATTAGAGTTAGAGTCTACTAGTAGAAGATGTCTAGTACTAATCTAGATCAAGATTAATTATAATTTATATAATATAGAGAGTATAGACTATTAACTATAATAGACTCTAGATCTAGTACAGAACAAACATTGAAATTAAATATTGTTATAAACCTGGTGGTGACACAGATGGGGGTAGTGCTGTGTCACTGTGAGTGTTTTTAGCCCACACAAATCGCCCATGACCAGCGCTAGACAAGTGTGATGAGTGACAGTGCACGCCAGTTCAGGAAGGATCTGTTTTGTAAATAGTATGCATGCAAGTCATGTCTAATCATCAGATGTAGTCTATGATCAACCAGAATGGTCAAGTGATGTTCCATCTGGTTCTAGAAAGCTTATATAAATATTATATAGAGACCCTATATTATATAAGAGTGAATATGTCTGAGTCAAGGCACTTCATGTTACTTCAAAATGTCACCATTATAATGTGAAATCAGAACCAGCACGGTGTGAAGTCGGTCCGGAACAGAGGCAAGGTTTTTGTACAGTCAGTGTTAGATCTATATTGTTGTAACTGAACTGTTATGCTGGTCAGTGTAACCCTATGGGTAATCAACCGACACATGTGTCACAGGCCTGTGTACTTAAAAAGGACTGATGTAAACATTCTCCATGTAGGTTAACAGTGTTTTTGGTTATCTGACTATGAACTATGTGTTGGTTATAAGAAAGGTTGGGTCAAGTCTGGAGGACTGAGAGAGGAACAAGAAAGTTAAGGAAAAAGAACACATTAATTTATAACTAACTTATTTATTATTTATAGCTCTAAGTCTAAGTTAGATCTATACATTTAAAATTAGAATTAATTAGATTCTAGATCTAGAGCTAGTTACAATTATAATAGTAAATATTACTAATGGCTAGGATGCCTGCCTGGTTGTGGGGTTTGGACTGTCGTTCAGATCTATCGATGATCCCAGGTTCAAACCCTGCCCGTTCCCATCCCCTGTCGTCCTGCGGGAGGACTAGGAAGTAAATTGTCTTCAACTCTAAAGGAACATCCGAAACATGTTTAGTAAAACATTTTACAAACATTTTTTTACAATTTACTATTGAATATAGATCTGGATCTACTAATAGATCTAGACCTAATGCTAAGAATGGGTATTTAATTTAGTAACTAATGATTTAGCTTAATTTAATAATTTTATAGTATCTAAGTATATAGACTCTAGGAAAAAGTCAATGGGTCGACTAGTAGTAGTATTAATATCTAGATTATTTCTAGATTCGGATTCAAATATTCTATTACATTATAATCTGTTTTTAAAACCTTACTTTAAACTTTCAATCACTTTGTATCAGAATATCTGTCAAGTCTCTTTTGGACTATGCATGCCTGTACACACATGTTGATGATGACAGCGAAGAGTTTATTAATTTTTGTGCTGTGTTTGAACAACTGGTTTCTCATAGGCTCAAGCGTGAGTACTGAATGCGTGAAAGGGAGAGAGACATTTTAAGATTTTAAAAACCTTAGAATGCAAATTAACTAGCGAATTTCAAGAACAATTTTAGGTTTATTGTCTGAGATTTCATTTAGCCTTACTTCAAGCATTTGTTTCATCAATTGCCTTTATATCTTCTAATCCTTATTATACTTTCAACCTCTTACTTGGTCAATTACTTTCTAATAGGTTACTTTTTTTTTTTTTTAATGTTTGGAAGAACAGAGTTCAAAGTAATACAAAATATATGCAATTCATCAAAATCAATGCGATTGAAGTAAACAGCCATCTTTGCTAAATCATTTGGTCTGATTATTTTAGCTTATCAGAAGAAAGTTTGGCTTCCTGGAAATGGGACTCCCAGGCATTTCTGGAACCTCTTGCAAGAAAATCATAACAGTTCTCATGGAGCAATCTTTCAAACTTGTATTCCTAACATAGAAGCCATAGAAACTTTGAAGTCACCTAAAGCTAAGGTTTGTGGTAGTTATACTGAAAAAATGTAGTAATCATAATACTGAAAGACTTAAATTTCTTTAAGTGGAAACCATAAAAATTGATTTATCTTTTTACAAAGCTTTTATCAACTCACTCTGTCTGGTAAAAAGTTTGTACAGAGGTTACATCTCCCACACCCAATCTTGGGTCAAGTTAAAATTTTGCACAATTATTTCTGGTACCTGACAAAACAAGAATCATTTTAAAATAATCAAATAGATTATGGACTATTGGTAATTAATTATTTTGTTTGGTATTGAACAAGGGGGAAAAATTTACTTGATGTGGTTATGCATGTTGAATTAGTCCCCTTGAGGAGACTTGACCCCTGAGCGCACAATTTTTTTTAGGCATTTAAAAAGCCATCATGGTAACATGAAACTGCGCTAAACAAAAACAATTAGCACGACTTTTCCTAATTAATTGATACAATTGCACTAAATATAAGCTTTTTTTTTTATCTAAAAGCATTTTTTTTTTTAATTTTTTTTTTTTTACTTATCATTTAATTTGTTATTTGTATTCACATTTTAGCTGAGGGCTTTTATCAGAGTGGCACTGATGGAGAAACGTTTGTCTGATTACATGTTCTGGTTGCTAAACAATTCCAGATTAATAAGGTCTCTTACAAAGGCTTTGTTTGTTTGCTTTTCTTTTAAAATCATTTATAAAAAAATTAATTGTATAAAAAGTAAAGAATTATTTCTAGTCAAGCCCTAATGTATTAATCATTAATCAATTTCTAATAGTAGTGCCAAGAAGTTTGATTTCATCTGTTTATTTATACGTTTGAATACATCTTACAGTTCCCTATTTTCTTTTTATATTACAAGTGAATGTGATATGGTGGCCAAGTGCTAAAGGGCTTGGCTTCTGAATTCGGGGATCTCTGGTTGAAATTAAGGTGAAGACTGCATTTGAGTCACCCATTTCTAATGAGAACCTTACATTAGTTGGGGAAAAAGTAAAGAGATGGTTGATTGTTGTGCAGGCTTCTATGGTTGATTGTTGTGCAGGCTTCATGACACCCTTGTTAGCTATGGGCCACAGAAACAGATGACCTATTAGCCCCATAAATGGCAAGGTCTGAAAAGGGGTACTTAACTATTTTTTAGCAAGTTAAAGGGCTCATGACCCTAATGCAATTTCTCTTGTCCACAGTATTAAGTTATGTTATTTCACAAAAATATTAATTTAGTTTAGGACTTAAAATTCCAGGGGTGAAATTTTTATGATGCTTGGTGGGAGCTTGTGTTTAGTGAGCTCTTGGATAACTCCTGACATTTATAAAGAACTAATGACAGTGAATTATCTTAGAGTAAATGTTTTTTTTATCAATCAGTCACAAAATTAGGGTGATCTCTGATCAGATGCATTATAAACTTAGTGCATATTTAACTGTCACACCTTGATCATACCAATATACTTTCTATTTCTTGTTTA